ACCCGGCCTTTTACCTTTGCCACGGGGCGGCGGTGGCGCCCGGCGCTTTGCATAGTGGGCCGGGCCGCGCCCTCCCCGCCCGCCCGCGGTCGAGCGAGGCTACCCGAGCCGCTGCCCTGACCGGGCCGGCCGCGCGCCGCGGGGGCGGAGGGGAATGGCCGCGGCCCCGCCTCACGCCTGGCCCTCCGCCAACGCCGCCATCTTGTCCCCGCTGCGCCGGCCGGCCGAGTTCCCCTCGGCGCGCACCTCGCCTTCTCCAGTCCTCCTGCCTCGCTCCCCGCTCCTAGCCCCTGCGCTCCCCGCCTGCCGTTGGCAGCCACCCCGACCCTACCGCCGTTTTTCTGGAAGGGAGGGTGAAGGGAGAGAGGCGGGTGCAGGGCGCGACCTCCTGAGCGACGGCTGAGCTGGCCAATCACCGCCTAGATCGGAGGGCCGCGGCCTGTGGTGCCGCCCCCGGGTCGTGGTGGTTGGCTGGGGCAAGAGAGGGCGGGACGGGAGCGGAGTCGCGGCCTCGGGCCGGGGCGGTGGAACTCTGGCCCGGAAGGCGGCCGAGTGGGTTGAGCCCCCGGCGTGGCCTAGTGACAAGAGCTCTTCCGCACGGGGACGTTCTGACGCTCAGCTCCAGCCAGTGAAATGGGGACACCAACCGTTTTAGCCAAGCCGCGCCTCTCAGGATTGAAAATGCAGTCCAGGCTACTCTGCGAGCCTCAAAGTAATTCGCAAATATTTGGTTGGTTTTTATTTCTTGTGGTGCAGGGACTGCCCCCACGTCCGTATCCCAAAATGTTGGTATAAAAATAGGGCTAGGCGTGAGATATCCATCCCCGCAGGCAGGAGGCCGAGGCGGGTAGATACTCTGGAAGATCAAGGTCTACATAGCGAGTTCCAGGCCAGCTGGGGTTACAGGGAGAACCTGTCTCAAAAACCAACCAACTGGAATGGAAAACCTCTCAGGTGACGCTCTTTTATACCTCATTAAACGCAGATGTACTTCATTATAGACACTAGGCATACATCTAGAGAAATAAGCCTGTCAAGGTGTGTTCGTTCCCTCCCCACCCCCTAATTTTTGGATGCTGGAGGATTAAAAGGCTCAGAAGTGGTCAGTTCGAAACTGGATGATGATGGGGACTAGTTTAGATTGCAGAATAAGGAGGGCAGGATTCTCTGAGGCTGTGATAATTGAATAGAGGCATTCAGGAAAAGCAGAAGCTTGAAGGTGGGAAGGAAAGGCTTTGCTGAATACCTGGCTTTGCTGAACAGCCTTAGAAAATCACTTCCAGATTTAAGTCCCTTGTCAGCTTCTTAAATCCATTTGAATCCATTAGATATTTGCTAAACCTCACTAATACCCCAGCTCTGGGTTAGGAATGCAAAGATGGCTGGCACAGATCCCCGTATATATGTGCCTATGATTCCGTACATGTGAATTCTGTTCTCTCCCTATCTCTGGACACACAAAACGTTGAAAGTGACTGGTCTAGTTATCAGCTCAGTTTACTAAGCAGTGTGATTCTGGGTAAGTTACATAACCTTTTTTGAGCCTTAATATCCTCATCTGAACAGTAATAGAACCTTCCCTGTTTAAGAGTTAAATGAATTAATGTAAATAAAAAGAAGGGCTCCTGGAACCCTTAAGGGTGTGGTAGCACATGCCCTTACTTGGGAGACTGAGGCAGACTGATCTCATTGAAGCCAGCCTGGTCTACATAGTAAGTTCCAGGCCAGCTGGGGCTACTGGGAGACCCTGTCTCAAAAAGACAATATATATATATATATATATGAGCAAAAAACACTGAATTGAAACAAAGTCTGAACCCAGGAGTAATAACAGAAATATGGAATGCTTTACAATTTGCAAGCTCCAGGAGTGGTAGAAGCCCTTTGCTTGCTCCCTACTTATAAGCCTTTTCTGATGCTTGTTGTGGTTTTCTTATCCCTGAACCACTAGCTCTCTGTGTTCTGGACACACTGGTCCGCCTTCATCTTAACAGCATGGCTTACCATCTTCAGACCTTTCACCCTAATACCAATTGTCTGCCACTCGTATTCCTCCTCCACTCCTAATCGTGCTGAGATCTCTGCTAGAGCATTCCTTTCTCTGGGAAGTCATCCCTGGTTCCCAATGCTAGTCTGGACCAGATTGTTTCTATTGTGTTCCTTTCCTTTATTGCCTTTATCTCACTTTGTACTTACTCCTGTATGTGATTGCTTGATTAATGTCTGTTCTCTTGGATGAGCTATCAACTTGAGGGAGGCAGAATTATTGTGTATCTAGTACTTAGCAGAATACCTGGCACATTTTATTGAGTGAATTGTTGGTAATGAACATCAGTGGTAAGAGAGTTGCTGCATACTTAATTGGTACCTTTTTATGTGCACTTGTTTGGCAGTTAAATTAGCATGTCCAGCAATAAAATGTCTACTATGGAACTTGGATGATTTTCAGAAGTGGTCTCGACAGACCCTGCCCCTGACTAGAGTTGTAATAATGAATGAAAGGACCCAGTTGAGTCCTTTTTTCCCACTTGTGTTTGTGTTTCTGTATGTGTGTGCCCACCCATGCGTGCGGTATATGCATTGGGTGTTTTCACCTCTTTTGAGACAGTCTCTCATTGACCCTGGAGCTTGCCATATTGGCTAGACCGGCTGGCCAACAAGCCCCCAGGATCTATTTGCTTATCTTTGCCCCACAGCCCTGAGGTTAGAGATCTGCATTGACACCCCAACTTTTGAGTGTGGTTGTTGTTTTTGTGACAGGGTCTCCTTATAACCCCAGCTGGTCTGAAACTTGTTGTGTAGACCAGACCAACCTGGATTTCACCAAGATCCACCTGCCCCTACCTCAGGCATGCTGGGATTAAAGGCTTGTACCACCACTCCAGGATACACTATTGAATTTCATTGTGTATACTGGGGTTCCCAATTCGGGCTGTCATGCTTACTTAGAAAAGTGTTTTACCTATTGAGCCATTGTTCCAACCTCCTTTATAAAAGATTGTGTGTGTGTGTGTGTGTGTGTGTGTGTATCTGTGTGAGTGAATGCCACTTGTGTGTGGGTGCTCAAGGAGGCCAGAAGAGGGCACATCCCTTGGACCTGTGCTTACAGGTAACTGTGAGCTGCCCTGTTACAGTGATGTGTGCTAGGAACCAAACTCATGTCCTCTGGAAGAACAGCAAGTGCTCTTTACCACTAAGCCAGCTCTGAAGCCCTCTTTTTCCCATTCTTTTTTTGTTCTTTTTGAGACAAGGTTGCCCGGTAGCCCCAGCTGGCCTGAAACTCCCTATGTAGACCACACTGGCCTTGAATTCGCCTGCCTCTGCCAAGTGCTGGGATTAAAGGCATGTGCTCTTTTTCCCATTCTACAAGTTGATTTGTTATTGCTAGGTTAATAAGTTAGTAAGTTTGTATGTGAAGAAATAAATAACCCAAATATAATCATGTCATTGACTTTACCAAGGAGTAAGTACTCAGTTTTCTTGAAATCAAAAGTTCTAGTTTTTTTGGTTTTTGTCTTTTTTAAAAAATATTTTACTTGACTACTTTTTTTTTTATGTGTGTGAGTGTTATGCCTGCATGTCAATAGGTGCACACATGTTTTGCAATGCCCACAGAGGTCAGAAGAGGGCATAAGATCCCTTGGAACTGGAGTTATAGATAGTTATTAGC